CTTTTGAATATAGATTCTCGATCAAAATGTCACAAAACAAAATAGAAAAAAGAGGGCAATCAAACACCTAAAAAAGTCGAATCAGTCTCGTACTGGCACCTCATTTTTTTATCCCAAAAAACAAACAAACCCACTGTTTGCAAACCATTAAATTATAATGTACGAAATCTGGAGAATGACAAAATGCACAAGTGAGCACAGACAGTCCAAAATGCACAAGTGAGCACAGACAGTCCAAAATGCACAAGTGAGCACAGACAGTCCAAAACTCAAAGAGAGACCAGCGAAGTGACAATTTTGAACCAGTGAAGTAGGGAAATAGTGTCTATTTTGGGGAACATTCAAAATTCACATGGAATTATGGGTATCCACATGTGTTCATTTAGGTGTGTGAGAGTGTGTATAATTTCCTTGCCCAATCAGAGCCTAAGTCAGCATGGGGTGCCCTCGGGCAGTTGCTGGGAAGCCAGCAAACCAGCAAATATGTTTAGTGAGGCTGCCTTGGGGCCAACACTCGGCCAGGGGCATTGTAGGAAGTTAAAATGCTCAGATCAACAGCAGCAGCATGCCTGCTGAAGCCCACAAGCACAGATAGAGCATTGGGGGGGGGGGATTGGCTAAGGAGCCTGTCCAGTTCCCAACTTTGCTGCACTCTAGTGTGACTGATCATCAGGATCCTGGGGTTATATATATTGAACCAGGCTCAATTCTTAATAGCTGGTGTCACAAATTGCCGGGAATGGGCCTAAATCCACACTAGTGATGTCCCTGAATGAACCCTTAACCCTATTCCCATTAAGTGAATTGTGAAAATTCGCTTCTAATGAGGAGGAAGTAACACACCAAGCTGCAAATGAAGCATGGACAAAACCTGCCTTCTATCCCCAATGCTTGGGACACCACAGTTCCTCCATTTTCATTTCACTGTCCCCTTCCCTCCAATATTCACAAACCACCAACCAGGGCCGTCTTACCCATAGGCACTAGGGGTGCAGGGCACCCGGGTGCCGAGCTCTCAGGGGCACCAGGGCCCGAGAGTTGAGTCCGGGGAAGAGCCCAACCGCCGGTCAGAGTGCCGTGGCAGGCTCTTCTGCTGCGGGCGGCTCTGTGCCGCAAGTTTGGGGGCAACCGAGCCAGTGAGGCACTGAGGCGGGCAGCCGGCTCCACCCTCCTGCATGCCTGGGACTGGGCAACCGGGGGGGGGGGGGGAGACCAGGTGGATCTTTGCACCCTGGCGTCGCATATGCTTAAGACAGCCCTGCCACCAACACAGTTTAGGAATAGTAGAGCAGGAATAAGCATGCATTGCAAGATAGGAAAGAAACTGTCTATTTTTAAACCATCTGTATTAGAGCGTATTCAGATGTATCAGACGACAAAGACTACAACAATCGTAGCTGACATTACATTACATGGAGAGGCACTAAAAATGAGCTGCTTTTCTCCTCCTGTAGTCTGAAGTGGTGCAGTCCTGGAGGACTGGACCACGAACTTTTTCCATGTGAAAAGTGCATGTAAGCTGTGGTTGAGGCAATAGCCATTTTACCTTAAGAGACTTTGCATATACGCCATTCAGTGCCTGTTGGAGCCACTGAAATCTTGTGACAGGTGTTGCCCAACTTAGATGCCAACAGAACACTTTCAGATTATGCTGGGCCTGCTGTTGTCTGCTGCTGCAATGCAGACAGGCCGTTGGACACAGTAAGCTCAAGACCTGTAAGGATGTGCTGAATAAGGACAATCAAACCACCACAGAAAGCGCTGGGCAAATATCTGCGGACAGTTAAATTAGAACCCTGAACTTGTGATCACTCAGTGCGGACACTTTAACCAGAATTCCGTACATGCAATCCAGATCAATAACAAATAATAAAGAAGGTATTTCACCCAACTCCAAAGTATTTATGTAGCTTCTAATACATAATCTGTTGCCGGATTTCTAGGCATTTTAATTTTCATTTAAAAGCAGCTAACAATACGTCGTTCCAAATTAGACTGAAGCAGGGGTGCAGCTGGTTCAACACATTCCCAGAGCTATATCACCCCTGCAAACTGCTGTTTGCCACACTAAGACAGGCACGCGCGCGCGCACACACACACACACACACACACACACATAAGCAAATTAGGAACCAGGGGAGTGATTAAACATAATCACAGATTAATTAAAAGGAACATAAGCACTGTGTGCCTATCTGTGTGTTTATTAATTAGAATTATATTGGGCCTGTGAATTATGCCACTCTCCATAAAAGTGTGCAAGTAAGCACTGTACAGAAGGCTCCGCCAAGTTACAGAAGGCCGGCCAGAAGGCTAGCAAGAGACCCCAGAGGATGAAAAAGTATCTGTGTCTAATCAATTATTTCAAAATCCCTGAGGGAGGAAGAACACGAGGTTCATATGAAACCAGCCAGCAACGTGCCCTCTGTTCAGCTGTGACAGACTAGCTGTAAATCAGGATCGCAAAGTAAAATAAGAACGCCAAACTTGGAGACCCAAGAACTTTGGAAAACTTTTTTTCCTGGAGAAGTAAACCAACTCAATATCCACTTTGTGGTCTTTAGTTTCAGCTGCACTGGAAAAGCAAGTCTGGTTCAAGCTAATTTTAAAAGGAGAATTTACACCTGCAGCCCTCACTATCCCAAGCCACTTGTACTTTGCAATGCGAAGAAACGGGGGGGGGGGGGCTTCAGGAAATCCCAGTTGGCAGTTGCACAGTTGCTGCATCCCGCCCACCCACCCCCCACTCCCAAAATACAAACACTTCTATGTTGCTAAATCCAGCAGCTCCTAAATGTAGACATACAAACACTGCACTCCAGGGAGCATGAAAGCAGCTTTATCACTTGGATATCACGGGGGCGAATTTCTATCTTCCAAGGAGAAGGGATACCTGGAACTCTTTCAAACATTGCAACATTTGCAACACAGAAAGCAATTGTGCATGTGTGCATCCTAAAACATAACAAAGCAAAACATACACATGTTCAGTTATCACATGTAACCACCCAATTATTGATTTGTATGCTATTTCCTGCACAGAAGCTGCCTTCCATCTAAACCTTTGCTGTCTGCACTGACTGGCAGCAAGCGTTCAGACATGGCTCTTTCCTATCCAGCTCTGGAGGTGCCAGGAACCTTCTGCACACCAAGCAAGTGTTACAATGAGCCATTACAAGTTTGTGAAGTAGACAGAGGGCAATCCACCCTATTGCTGTGATCTGTTTTAACTATTTTTAATTCTGAGTTTTAAAACTGCTACAACCTTCCCTGGGACCTACGGGTGAAAAGCAGGCAATGAATGGAACAACAATAATAATACAGAGTCGAACCCCAGCACCTGGTTTTCAGTATCCGGCTGCCACTGAAGATGGAGGTTCTATTTTGTTGTCAAACCTAAAATATTTTTCCAGTTTGGGGAGAATATTAAGAGAGAGCTCCCTAAGGGTGAATTAAAGGGGTAGGCTTGCAGGAAAGGAGCAAAAGTGGATTGGGGATGAGGGAGGGATATTATGCAGTCAAGGAGGAGGGCACAGACTGGCAGCAAAAGAGTGGTGCATTCTGGGTTAAGTAACAGGCAGGAATTATTTAAGTTGCCATAGGTGGGGGAGACATTGCAACCGGTACCAATTATGGAATGTATGGGGGGGACGACACTATTCAACTAGCCTAGGCACCAGAAATTGGGGGTGCGGCTGGGGAAGCAGGTGGAATTGGGAGGTGAGAGACCAGCAACCTGAATATAACAGAGGACACTCTACGAATCCAGGTAGATGCTGAGAGACAGAGTTTGCAAACTCCCAAGTTTCAAGGTGGGAACTATGAAAAAAGGGAGGTTTGTTAAGGGGCAATGGGGACCATGAGGGGTTGAGGGACAGTACAAAGGCATAAGCACAGGGCTTGGAGGGAGTAACCCATTGACCCAGATACTGAGGGGGTGTCAGGCTGAAGTAGCCACTGCTAAATCTGCCTCTGGACCCACACGGGAAAGACGAAGATAGTAACAGTGGAGCATTAGGCATTGGGGCAACAGGCCTAGGCGCATCATGCGAAGATACAAAGGAACCAAAGAGAAAGAGCTTGAGGGTCGACAGCAAGGACAGACCCAAACTTGGGGAACTAATTGTCAAGGGCGGAAACCTATGGCCCTATGGGGTGGGGCGGAAGGCAGCACAGAGCTCCTTCAGAATACAGGCCCTGATGGGAAGAGGCACCCTACAAAATAGAAGACCTGACCTGCTAACAGAAGGATGTGAGGAATGGGGGGAGACCAGAGGGATATTGGGGGGGGGCAGGCACCCTACTAAGCAGAACCGGGGGTGCCAACTTGAATATTGGGGGGGCAGGCAACCTGCACCACATAATCAATCACCCCCACACACACACCATTTGCCCATCAACTGGGGTGGGGTACCTACAAATATTTTATTGGGGGAGGCAAAGGGACCTCAGTCCCTAGCAGTTGGCTCCTATTCACCCTACTAAGTAGAACAAGAAAGGGATATGGGGGAGGCACACTACTAAGTAGAAGAGAGAGATATGGGGTAAGGGGAGAAGCACCCTAAGTGGAAACAGACGGGATATGGGGTGATGGGAGGGAACCCTACTAAGTAGAATAGAGGGGCGTGGGAGAGGCAATGGGGGCATCTTCTCTGGGGCTACCGGGAGCCAACGGGGTACCCTAAGAACGGGATTGAGGGTTAAACAGCGCTGGGGGGGCGAGGAGGGATGCCAATACTCTGTGGGGCCGAGGACCCTATGAAAAGTGGGGAGGAAGTAGAGGGCAGCGGAGGAACCTACGAGAAGTGGGGAGGGCGGACTGGTGGAGAGCTTTGGGTGGGGAAGAAGATAATTAATTAAATAATAAATAATAATAATAATAATAATAATAATAATAATAATAATAATAATAATAATAATAATAGTGTGGGGACTTGGGGGGCGCCAGCGAGGAGGAAGAGCAGGAGGGACCCCCTTGCCGGGCGAGGAGCCTCACTTACGGGCGAGTCGTAGGAGAAGGAGCACTCGGTCTTGTAGACGCGGTCGCCGGCCTTGGGCACCCGGATCGTGGGCATGTAGGGCACCAGCAGCTCGCCCACGTCCCCCGCCGCCATCTGCGACCCCCGGCCGCTCCCCGAGAGCGCGCCCGGCTCCAGGCTCCCGCCGGTGGGTCAGCAGAGAGGAGCGCAGCCGGCCGAGCCCCGCGGAGGAGCAGGAGGAGGAGGCGGAGAAGGAGCGCAGCCCAGGCCGGCCTGCCCGCCCGCCCTCCCGGAGGGGAGGAGAGCCGCGCCGAGCCGCTATTTTTAACCCAATGGCAGCGGCGGGGGGAAGAGGGCCGCCCCGCCCCGGGGGAATCTCTCTCGGCGGAGAGGTGCCGGGGCTCGCGGAACCAGCCGCGGCCACGCCCAGGGAATCCCGCTCTCCGGAGCTCTGCACATGCCCCGAGGCGCCCTTTTCCTCCTCCTCCTTCAACCCAGGGCATGGGGGGCGGTTTAAGGAGACTTTGTGCTGCCCATCAGGCAATGGCTGTTTCCACCTGCCCAAGGAAGCCTTTCCCAGACTTTGGGAACAGCGGAAGCAGCTGGGAAGAGAGGAGTTCAGGGATAATTTTTTAAAAAATAATAGTTTTGCAAGTTGTGCCTCCTTGTTTCTCAGTTGGATCCTTTTCCATGGCTTTGTATGTTGTGTGGTATGTTATGTGTTGTGACTTGCGGTCATTTTTACTGACTATAGTTTAGTAATTTTATTGTAACTGATCAATGTAAACTCTTTCATTATCGCTTGCTGATGTTTAATTTATTTCGTTGTTGACTATGGATTGTTGAATGTGGCTTTATTTGATACAAGTTGTTTGTTTTAAAGCCATCGTGACTTTTTGGCATTGGATCAGATTGTTATGACTTAGGTAGTCTTTGCTGTCTATTTTGTTTTGTTTTTTAAATTATTTTTATTCAATTTCCAATATAAGATTTAAACATACATTTCAATATTGTCACAAATACATACTTTTGACTTCCTTCAGCTCATCCGTGAATCTTCCGTTTTCTAATCTTCTATCCGCAATTCTAAATTTAACATTGCCTTTTATTTTAAATAAACCTATTCCCTTGTTCCCTTTTTTACAGTGTTTCTAATATTATTTCTTCACAAAGCTTCCTGTAAACCCACAAACGTTATTTGCGTATCACATATGCTTTTCATATAGTCCACAAATTTACTCCAGTCCTTGGTAAACTTGTGATCTCGTCGGTTTCGGACCCTTCCTGTTAATTTATCTAATTCTGCGTAGTCCATTAATTTCATTCTCCATTCTTCTATCAATGGTAATTCTGCCTGCTTCCATTTTTGGGCCAGTAGTATTCTTGCTGCTATTACTACATATAAAAATAATTTATGGTCCTTTCTATTTATTTCATTTCCAACCATTCCTAACAAAAAGCCTTCTGGTTTTTTAACAAATGTATATTTCAACATTTTTTTCAATTCATTATATATCACTTCCCAAAAGGCTCTCACCTTTTTACACTCCCAGTCTATTTTGTTGTTTCTTTCAGCTTGAAAACCGCCTTGCATATAGTAATACAGAAAAGGTGGTATACAAATTAAAAGAGAACAAATGAAATGAAGTGAAATACCCGCTTGGTTAACTATAGGAAGAAGAAAAAGGTGTGGGGAACCCAGGTCTCATAAAGGGAGGAAAGCTTAAAAGGTGATACAGTTGTGGGTTGCCATCATCGTCGTCCCAGCTTTCGGAGGTTTGGGGGCCAACCAGTGGCTCCTGGGAGAGCCTTTTCGGTGGTGGCCCCAATAACACATCTCCAACCCTTTTCAGTTCCTGTGGCTTGCTGAGGGTTCACCAGTTTATTCTGGCCTTTGGGCACTGAAGAACTGGTTGCGGGGTTTTCATGGAGAGTGCCCTCCACAAAACCTGTTGTATAGATTGCAATTTGGAATTGCTGCTCACTGTTTTAGGCGTTGTCCACACTGTGCATTTGAAAGCAGAATTATACCACTTTAAACAGCCGTCGTGGCTTTGCCCAAAGATTCGCAGAGTTGCCTGGGAAGAGGGGTTGACTACCAATTCCGGAAGGGGAATAGGGGTTTCCAAACAACTCCCAGGATTTTGTGCTGAATCACGACTACTGAATGCGACATAATACTGCTTTGGATATATAGTGCAGGTGGCGCTTTAATTGCGTTTTTGTATGCAAGGAATGAGCCCTTGGTGAAGGGTGGGCTGGAAATTCAGTTAACAAAATGAAATACTCATTCTCATGTTGATGTTGTTATTAAGCAATGAGTAATGTTTTACCAGAGAGGAGGGCTGGAAGAGAAATCCTGTTGAGATAACAGACTGTGCTTTTTATAGCCTCTTTTTATGTGATTTTTAAAAAACAATCAGGAAAAAGGAGGAAACTCTGGGACATCCTAATACTCAGTAATCTGTTGTTGCCAAGATCTCAGCAAGATCCACACATACACAAGAAAAGAAGCTGATGCAGTAATTTCAGGCTATTGCTGACCACAGAGACACTTAATTCTACAGATTATAGGTAAACACCAAAAACCATTATAGGTCATGTGATTTTGCCTGCACACTTGGTTGCTGGATCAGTGCTGGGCAATTCTCAGCCAAATGTGTGAACTCTTTCCATTGAAAAGCATTGGCTTGGAGCTGATCTCCCAGGAAGCAGAGTTGTGCAATTTCTACCTACGGTGATCAATGTGTGTGACACACTTGTGAAAATCACTTGCTGCTAAAGCCAATACACGTGTTTGCTATTGGTCCCTCAGTTGTACCTCGAAAGCAGCCTGTTCCTTTAAGGAGAGACACAGCTGATTAACATGTTCTGTTTCGAACAGTAATAAAATCTGGTACAGGAATTGCATTGTTGGAGGGGACATCTTCCCCTGGGGAGAGCTAGTATTTATTTAATCTGCAAGAACAAAGAATGCTAGTGTATGAATTCTAACGAAATAATAACCATGCCAAATGGTGGTAAAATTCACCTTGGTTTGGTTTTAGCACATCAAAATATAATGTGAACTAGACTTCATTCTGACACAGCTTATAAATTGCAGCTGCTTTGCTTCTCCCCAGTTGTTTTGCTGCTACAATATGCAAAGTATTGTTTATTAAGCCAAGAATCCAGGCCTGCCATTACATGTGAATGTGGCCCTGTGTCCGAAGAGTTTACCTGTAGTTTACCTTTTTTAAAAAAAACCTGTAGTAGTAAGCCCCTCTGCACATTTTGGCTAAAGCTCTCTTTACCACTTAAGAGCAGGAATCGGGAACTTCTGGTCTTCCAGATTGTCTTAGCCATGCTGGTTGGGGTTTGTTTATTCATAGGCTGTATGTGGCCTCCCCTCTGCCACAGGGCTGCACAGAGGGTTAGGGATATGGTGAGCAGTAACAACTTCCACCACCAAAGCTCTGTGCAAAAAAAAGTGTGCCTTGACGTGATGCCAACATGTATACAGTAACACCACCACATGCATCTCGGAGGGAGAGCATGCCACACTCAAGGGGCCACCCCAGAAAAGGCTCTCACGTGCCTCCAAACCATGAACCTCACATGGCCGCGAAACTACCAGCAGGGCCTCCCCTGTAGATCTCAGCCCCAGGGCAAGCAGAATCAAGCAAAAGTTGGGAGGGACCCCAAGGGTCATCTAGTCCAACCCTCTGCAGTGCAGGAATTTTTTAACTGGGGCTCGAACCTACAATCCACAAATTAAGAGAGCCTAGGGCTTGCCGATCAGAAGGTTGGCAGTTCGAATCCCCACAAGCTCCCGTTCCTCGGTCCCTGCTCCTGCCAACCTAGCAGTTTGAAAGCACGTCAAAGTGCAAGTAGATAAATAGGTACCGCTCTGGCGGGAAGGTAAACGGCGTTTCCATGCACTGCTCTGGTTTGCTAGAAGCGGCTTAGTCATGCTGGAAGCTGTATCATGACCTGGAAGCTGTATGCCAGCTCCCTCAGCCAATAAAGCGAGATGAGCACCGCAAACCCAGAGTCAGTCACGAGTGGACCTAATGGTCAGGGGTCCCTTTACCTTTACCGACTGAGCTATTCCAAGTTGGGGGTCTAACAGCATCAGGAGGGCAGCTGACTTAAGAGGACACAGGTGACTCAACTAACCTGGTATAACAGAGAGGCTACTGAAAGCACCTATTAGATAAGGCCCCTATGGCGTTACATATATTTAATCCCACCTTCCTCCAGCAAGGAGTATGCATACATTGTGGGGTCTTCCGCTGCCTGTGCCCCGGTTGATGTTATCCCCACAAGAATCAGGGCCACTGAGTGAGCTTCATCGCAGAACATGGATTTGAACCCAGACTCTCCAGCCAAAATCAATCACTCTATACAACCCTGCTTGTCTGTGGAGTGTTATTTGTTTTGGTACAGGCTTGTCCATGTGAGGAGCAGGGCAGGTGATGGAGAGGGAACTAGGCAAGGTCTGCGTAGTTTGTGAGAGAGAACAGCAATGGCATCAAACTTTGGAAAGGATGCAGGTCGCACAGCCACAGGAAAGAGTGTGGGGCAGGGCACAGCAAAGGCTGGAGAGCTTTGCCTTGTGAGGATTGCCCTATGCTGCTGTTATTTTGGCCACGCTGTGATGTAGAAAGACAGGGCTGCCCTCTAGTGGTCCCAAATAACCGCTACTAGCCTCTTCCTACAAAAGTAGGCAAAAACATCACACTTAGGAGGCAGGGCTAAACTATGCATTTCATTACACGGAATGTGTTGGAATTCTGGGCAACAGCATATTTTGAATGCTGCTCTCACAAAAACCTCAGCTGAGATTCCTACATTGCAGGGGGTTGGAATAGATGACGCTTGAGGTCCCTTTCATCTCTACAATTCTGATTCCAAGCTTGCGCCGGAAGCTGCAGTTAGCGTGAAACTCTGCAGCTCAGAGTTCGGCACTGGTTGCTGATTCCCCTACTGGGATGAGTTATGGGGCGCCGGTTAACAACTTGGGACCAGTTTACCTACAAGCCTGCCTTACCCCCTATGTGCCAACTCAACCCCTTAGACTGGCAGAATTGGCACTTTTACAGGTGCCACATAATACCCGCAACCGCATCTGTAAGGACTCGATTGTTTAGTGTTGCAGGGCTGACTCTTTGGAACTCCCTGCCTATTGATGTCAGGCAGCAGCCTTCACTGTTTTCTTTCCGGCACCTGCCGAAGACATTCTTATTTAGAGAAGCCTACCGCCC